CTCTCTCTCTCTCTCTCTCTCTCTCTCTCTCTCTCTCTCTCTCTCTGTGCCTCGCTCTGTATCCTTCTCTCTTTCAGCCAAGCCGGCACATTGAACAAACTCATTCGCTCTCCCGCAGACAAATTCCTCCCCCGAGTGTCCATGAATTATTTTTGGCAGAGCACGGTCTAAGGAGAGCAGGGTCGGGTTCAACAAACAGAAGCCTCCATTCTCCCTGCACCCATGCCACAAACAAGTAATCGTTGCTCTCTTCACGCGTTTTCGACGGCGAACTTCCCCATCACACCACTCGTTCTCTGGCATCCTCCTCTCTTGTGCAGTACCATGACAGCCGTCCTTGTAGCGCAGGGATGCGAGACTTACGGTCGACAGACCATGCACCCCATGTGCAAATACGAGACAACAAGCAATCCCCGGCGCTTGTCTAGTTGGCTCGCCTGGTCGGCGTAACGGAAACACCTTCATTATGAAGGCTCCGTCTGCCTTTGGAGGCCCGGGTCTATCGTGTTGAACTCTGGCCATCAATGACAGCGAATACAAGCACACATCCAGACTCCACGAAAGGAAACTTGGGGAAGGGGGCCTTGCCTTGGCCCTTGTGGTTGCAGGTGGCGAGGAAGTAGGAACAAGGGGTGGCAGTGTCGGGGTCTGGGGGAACATGGGCTTGAGTGGGGGGTGCCTCAGAAAGAGCAAGACGGCGGATGTTTCTCTCTTGGTGTGACCGGTGGCAGTATCGATCAGCAATGCCGCACAGACTTTTGCGCGCCGAAATAGGCGTGCGACAGCTTTAACCTAACCACTTCGAAGGAAAGCGAATTTCTGTTCGATACGGTGTCAGGGGTACCAGGGAAGAAGGGGCCTAGTTTTGTTTGATTTCGGGTGGATGAGGTTGGGGTTGTTCGTTTTTCTCCATCTAAGGTTCGTGCCAAGAGTTCAGCTGTAGTGTTTCAACCAAAGTTTTGTTGACCTAGAGGCAAACATTCCTAGCTATTGGGCATCGAGTTAATTTGGCTTGGCATGACGGCCTTTACGATCGACTTTTTATGTATGTCTGCATTTATCTGCAATTGTCGAAGGGCAAACAAAATAATAATAATAAATAGCCGAACAAACAAAAACAAAAAAGTGATTGTCCAGCTGTTAAAAGTTGAATAAACCTACCCCAGGCAAAAAAAGGCAAAAAACTCTTAATTGGGCTATTTACATCCCACTCACCATCCAGGGCGTTCTTGCCAGGTCCTCCATGGTCATCCACTGCCGCTTGGCGTCCTTGTCGGCGAAGTGGAAGCTCCACCGCCAGCCCCTCACCCGCGATAGCCATGCCGGCAGTTGTCCCTTCTGCCGCAAGAGGCCGTCCCTCGACAGAAGCATCGACCCCATCATCAGCGACACGCACTCGTCCTGCCCCGCATCGCAGAGGGGGGGGGGGA